TCGGCGGTGAGTGTGCTCTTGGCACGGACGTTCTTGAGGACAGACAGGAGGAGTTTGAGTGCTTTGCTGCTTCTGTACCTCATCTCGTGTCCATGCTGCTGGCCCCTGAGGGAGACCTGGATGCACTAGACATCCCGACCCCGCGCTCTTACGCAGAGGCGATAGAGGGTCCCTACTCCTCTCAGTGGCAGGCAGCCATGGACGCAGAGATGGCTTCCTGGAAGTCCACAGGCACCTACGTAGACGAGGTTCCCCCACCTGGGGCGAACATCGTCAGTGGCATGTGGATCTTCAGGGTGAAGCGGCCGCCGGGTTCTCCGCCTGCCTTCAAGGCACGTTACGTTGCACGTGGCTTCAGTCAGCGGCAGGGAGTTGACTACTTTCAGACCTTCTCCCCTACCCCGAAGATGACCACTCTTCGGGTACTGCTGCACGTTGCTGCTCAGCGTGACTACGAGCTCCACTCGCTTGACTTCAGCACAGCCTTCCTACAGGGCAGCCTGCACGAGGAGATCTGGCTGCGCCGCCCACCTGGCTTCACTGGGTCGTTTCCTGCTGGTACCCAGTGGAGCCTCCGGCGGCCAGTCTACGGTCTCCGCCAGGCGCCCCGTGAGTGGCACGACACGCTCAGGACGACTCTTGCTTCTCTTGGTTTTGCTCCTTCCACTGCTGACCCTTCTCTGTTTCTACGCACTGACGCTACTCTGCCACCGTTCTACGTTCTCGTGTACGTAGATGACCTCGTCTTTGCTACTGCTGACACGGAGGCACTCGCCCACGTGAAGTCCGAGCTGCAGAAGAGACACACGTGCACAGACCTGGGTGAGCTGACAAGCTATCTTGGCTTGCGGATCACCCGGGACAGAGCACAGCGCAGCATTACCTTGACTCAGTCACACATGGTGCAGCAGGTCCTTCAGCGCTTCGGCTTCATGTACTCCTTGCCACAGTCCACTCCTCTGCCTACCGGTCACTCGCTCTCAGCTCCACCTTCGGACGAGTCCGTAGAGCCGAGTGGCCCGTATCCAAAGCTTGTGGGCTGCCTCATATACCTGATGACTTGCACACGACCTGACCTCGCATACCCTCTCAGCCTTCTGGCTCGCTACGTGGCTCCCGGCAGGCACCGAAAGGTGCACTGGGATGCTGCGAAGAGGGTGTTGCGATACTTGTGCAGTACATCGGGCATGGGGCTCGTGCTTGGAGGACGGGCTCGAGTTGTCCTCACTGGTCACCCTGACGCTTCCTGGGTTGACGACTTGGCTACGCAGCGGTCGTCACAGGGTTACACCTTCAGCCTTGGCTCCGGTTCTGTCTCTTGGCGGTCTACCCGCTCTTCTTCTGTTCTCAGCTCCAGTTGTGAGGTTGAGATCTACGCTGGGGCCATGGCTGCACAGGAGCTACGCTGGCTCACCTACCTGCTGATTGACTTGGGAGAGGCGCCTCGTTCTCCTCCAGTTCTGTACGTCGACAACAAGGCCTTGTGTCAGGAGCACAGACTGGAGCACAGAACGAAGCACATTGCTCTGCGCTACTTCCTTGCTCGAGAGTTGCAGCAGCGTGGCCAGCTTCGTCTAGCTTACGTGGCCTCTCAGGCCAACACTGCTGATGTTTTCACCAAGGCACTTCAGCCTTGTGATCATCAGCGCTTCTGTACTGTGTTCGGCCTTGTACCTACTGTGCCTCACTTGCTTTCTTCTTGACTCTGCCTGTACTGTACTCTTTGTACATATACCTGCATGCTTATACTTGCTAGGTTGTGTTCACTGTATTGTTTGCTTTCCTTTATATAACTCTGCATGTGAACTGGCCTTGTGGCCCTTTGCTTGTGCTCAGACTGCGTGGTGACTTTGTGATCCACCCTGAGCTTGCTTTGCTTTTCTTGACTGGTCTTGTGACCCCTTGTTCTCCCCCACTTTGCCTATGGGGGTGTGTCAAACTTATATATGCTATAGTCTGTTTAGGCTGTAGTGGGGTAGTCCTTAGAGGGTACAACACTTTTGTGTTGTCTACTTGTACCCCACCTGTTTCCTAGTTCATCATTTCATTCCTCAATTCTCTCACAAAGCGACCGTCGGGTTCTCCGCCTGTTTTCAAGGCGCGTTACGTTGCACGAGGCTTCAGTTACCAACAGGGAGTTGAATTCTTCCAGACCTTCTTCCCTTCCCCAAAGATGACCACTCTTTTAGTGTTGCTGCACGTTGCTGCTCAGCGTGACTACGAGCTGCACTCTCTTGACTTCAACATAGCTTTCTTGCAGGGCAGCCTGCACGAGGAGATCTGGCTGCGCCGCCCACCTGGCTTCACTGAGTCGTTTCCTGCATGTACCGAGTGGAGCCTCCGACGGCCAGTCTACGGTCTCCGTCAGGTGTCTCGCGAGTGGCACGACACACTGAGGAAGACACTTGCGGCTCTTGGGTTTGCTCCTTCTACTGCTGACCCGTCGCTGTTTCTACGCACCGACACTTCGCTGCCGCCATTCTACGTCATCGTGTACGTAGACGACTTGGCCTTTGCCACTGCTGACACTGAGGCACTGGCCCTTGTGAAGTCGGAGTTGCAGAAGAGACACACCTGCACTGACTTGGGTGAGTTGCGCAACTATCTTGGCTTGCAGATCACCCGGAACAGAGCACGGCGCACCATCACCCTGACTCAGACACACATGGTGCATCAAGTCCTTCAGCACTTCGGCTTCCGGTACTCCTCGCCACAGTCCACTCCTCTGCCTACCGGTCACTCGCTCTCAGCTCCACCTTCGGACGAGTCCGTTGAGCCGAGTGGTTTGTATCCAGAGCTTGTAGGCTGCCTCATTTACCTGATGACCTGCACTCGACCTGACCTTGCCTACCCTCTTAGCATCCTGGCTCGCTACGTTGCGCCCGGGAGACACCGACCAGAGCACTGGGAGGCCGCTAAGAGGGTGTTGCACTACTTGTGCAGTACTTCGGGCATGGGGCTCGTGCTTGGAGGACGGGGTCACTGGACACGCAGACGCTTCTTGGGTTGACGACTTGGCTACGCAGCGGTCGTCACAGGGTTACTCCTTCAGCCTTGGCTCCGGCTTTGTTTCTTGGCGGTCTACTCGCTCGTCTTCTGTTCTCAGTTCCAGTTGTGAGGCTGAGATCTACGCAGGGGCCATGGCTACGCTGGCTCACCTAGCTGCTGACTGACTTGGGAGAGCGGCGTCGTTCTTCTCCAGTTCTGTACGTAGACAACAAGGCCATGATTGCCTTGTGTCAGGAGCACAGACTGGAGCACAGAACGAAGCACATCGCTCTGCGTTACTTCCTTGCTCGAGAGTTGCAGCAGCGTGGTCAGCTTCGTCTTGCTTACGTGGCCACTCGGGCCAACACTGCTGATATATTCACCAAGGCACTTCAGTCTGGTGACCATCAGCGTTTTTGTACTGTTTTAGGCCTTGTGCCTACTTTGCCTCACTTGCCCACTACGTGACTTTGCTTGTACTGTGATCTATATATATACATGCATGCTTACACTTGCTATGGTATGATCACTGTACTGTTTGTTTTCTTTTATATAACTCAGCATGTGAACTGGCCTTGTGGCCATTTGCTTGTGCTTGGAATGTGTGGTGACTTCGTGATCCACCCTGAGCTTGCTTTGTTTTTCTTGACTGGTCTTCTGACCACTTGTTCTCCCCCTCTTTGCCTATGGGGGTGTGTCAAACTGTTATAGTGCTCACATTGTGTAGGCTGTAATGGGGTAGCCCATAAGAGGTACAACTCAATTAGGGTTAGTATTTGTACCCAAGTTTATGTTCAATCCAATCATTCTCGTTCAGTATTCTGACAATCCGAACGTCCGCAACGCACCAACCAAACCCTTCAGGTTCCTCGCTGGTTTGGTTTGGGAGCAGGTAGGGCAAGGCAACACTATCGTCCTGAGCGAGGCATTCACTGGTAGGTGCGTGTCTCTCTGATGTTGAGCCTCCAACTGTCTGTTCCAGGCCTTGCTGAAAGTGCTACCCTGAACATCCGTTTATTTGCCCTGACCGGTCAGGATTAATATTTGTTGAAGCCCTGAAACTACAGGATGCCTTTGAAATTTTGCCGCGACAAATCAGGGCATTTTTTAGATTTTGACGAGTTGCCCTGAGGCCTCAGGATGCCCCAAATCCTAGCACAGGCCCTGGTGACAATCGCGTGTCATTAAGTCTACAATCCTAGAAACTCGGCGTGTGCTAAGGGCATTCCGCCATGACGATACGCGCATTCCAACGTGGTTTTGAGGAGATTTCGCCATGGAGCTACTACGATTTCCTCAGCAGCAGCCACGACTCTCTAGATCTCAATCTAGAATGTCGAGATGGCAAGGAGGAAATGGAAAACGTGAAGGAATGTGGTTTGGTTCGAGTTTGGAAGGCCCAAAGGTTGGGAGGGGAAAAGCGCTACAGCGACCAGCAGCTTAGCCAGTTCCAAACCCTAGCTTAGTTTGGGAGCACCTCTACCTATGTGGTGGTACACCACCCCATCCTCCACGAAAAACGAATTCACTAAAACCTACAGCGAGGGGAAGTGTTGGAAATCCAAATACAGTATAACGACTGTATACTTGCATGCTGTTCGGTTTTAGTGTAATCCTCGTTATAAGCCTCCAAGTCCTACAATAATTGTCATAATTATTGTAGGGCCAAAATTATCAAAGTTAAGCATTATTGGAGGGTAGAGGGTAGAATTATTGGTATACCATTATTGGTGTGAATGGGCTATTCTAGGAGGGGTAGATGGATGCATACCCTGTTGTGTCACTTGTTCATCTTCATATTCAATGCACTGGGATGCCCGAAGTGCACACATTGGTATTCGAACCCGAGACGTTTGTTCTGATACCATGTCAGAATCCCAACCACTATACCATTGGAATAAAAAGACTTGTTAAGTAGCGGGTCAGTGCGCCCATAACCCCCCAGGCCAACATGCCTGTAACACTTCTCAGGATCAATCGGGGATCACCAGTGGACCTCTGACACAGCACCCCTATTTGCCAATGCAGAACTTGCTGAAGATATTCGAAAGCACCTCCTCCGTGACATCCTCGTCGCCGCTCACCTGCCCCAGCGCCAGGATGCAACTGCGCAGATCAATGGACCAGAAGTCCAGCGCCAGCCCGGCTCCAATGCTCTCCCTCACCCGCCCCACGGCTTCAGCTGCACGCACCAGCTGCTGCTGCTGCCGCTGGTTCACCGCCCACTGCTGCCCCTCCTCTGCCACCAGCCCCCCGCCCACCGCTGCCGCCACGGCGGCTTCAAGCTCATCCAGCCCGGTGCGCAGGGTGGCGATGGTGGCCACTCGCCGCCACACGGCGCGCTGCACAGCTGGCGGCACGTGCAGGCCGTGGGGGTGTGCGTGGTCGCTCTTGTTCTCCACCAGGATTATTACCGGGTGCCCCTCTGGCCTTGCTTGCGCTTCTACTTCTGCCCCTGCTGCTCTCCGTGGTGCTATTTCTGACTCTGTAGCCACCGCCGCCACTGCTACTGCTGCTGCTGCCGTGGCTGCTGTTGTTGTCTCTGCCGACCCATCTCCTGCTTCCAAAGGTCGCCCCTCCTCCACTGCTCCTTGTGCATCCGCGTGTGCATGTGCATGTGCATGTGCATGCACGTCTGCATGTCCCTGTGTGTGTGCCTGCAAGCCCATGGCACCGGAGATGCGGTGGAAGATGGCGGAGTCCTCTGCTGTCCACCCCTCCGCTGCACTCACCACCAGCAGCACCACGTCTGCTGCCGCTGCTGTCGCCTCCGACCGCTGCACACCTGCCAGCACCGCAATGCAGGGGCGGCACAATGATGCACAAGGCAGCAGGAGAGCAGAGAAGCATATGTGGTGAGGAGGCACAGGCAGGCACACAAGGGCTCCGCATGCCCATCTCAGCAGCAAGGCACGAGCACTCCAACAGGGGCATGTGATGTGCACCAGGAATGGCTGCTGCAGGGATTCAAACCTGGCGACTCAATGCCATGCGCTGCACATGCATGACCGCTTCCCAAGGTCGCCTTCACACACCAAGCCCCGAAGGGCAGAGCTCAACCCGGCAGAGCACGGCAGAGCAACACACGGGTCACGCAGACGCGCCACGCACCAATGGCCTCGACGGCGTCGGTGGTGTGGCGGATGCCAGCCGTGTCAGCCAGGCGCACAGGGAAGCCCCCCGCCGACAGTGGCAGGTGCAGCTGCGCCTCCACCACGTCCCTCGTGGTGCCGGGGATGTCCGTCACGATGGCCCGCTCTGACTGCGTCCACGCGTTCAGCAGGCTTGACTTGCCCACGTTAGGCCGCCCCACGATTGCCACCTGTTGAGGGACGCCGTGCAGGATGGAGGGGCGAGGGCAGGGGAGGAAGCTGAAGAGTGAGAATGCTTGAAACCAATACAGCGGCAGGTGCAGCTGCGCCTCCACCACGTCCCTCGTGGTGCCGGGCGTGTCCGTTACTATCGCCCTCTTTGACTGCATCGCGCGTTCAGTAAGCTTTGACTTGCCCACATTGGGACGACCCACAATTGCTACCTGCCGAGGGATGCCGTGGAGGGGCAGAGGGAGAGGGGGAGGGGAGGCAGCTGTAGAAGGAGAGCGCTTGAGGTGCTGACAACGTGGAAAAGTGGAGTTGACAAGGAACTTGGCATTATCTGTTACTTGTATTACAGTGGTTCTGCAACGTCACTGAATGCTGCAGCCAGCCCCACCTGGATGCCATACTCCAGCAGTCGCCCGCGATTGGCAGTCGCAAGGGCCTCGTTGATCTGCTGCCAGATGGCGTCGATTCGACGGCTGACGTCCTTGGCATCCAACGGTGGGAGATCCTCCTCAAAGTCAATGCGTGCCTCGATGTCCACCAGCACCTCCATGCACGCCGCCCGCACGCCCCGGATGTGACGAGATAAGCCGCCCTGTTTGGTGCATAGTGGATGGTGAATGTGGCAAGGGGAGCAAGGAGAGGGTGTGGGAGAAGGGTGGACAGTGAGGATGGAAGCATGGGATGGTGGACGGTGCGTGCTGGAGTGTGAATGGTGCATGTGGCGGTGCAGGGAAACAGGAGAGCGCACAAGTGTGGTTGGCGGGAATAATGGCGTGCGCACCACCCCTAACACACCTGCCTCTCCACACGCCTCCTCCCGCCTTCCCCCCCAACCCCTCTCCTCCGTTGGACGGACCTCAACAGCAGCGAGGGCGGAGCGCGCAGCAGCAGCAGTGTCGGCGCGGATGAGCGCCGCCACCGCCTCCGCCTGCGCCAGATCCACGCGCCCGTTCAGGAATGCTCGTAGCGTGAACTCGCCTGGCGTGCATGGGGGGGGTGGGGAGAAGGGGGGGGAGGGGGAGTGAGGGGGTAGATGTGGGTGCGGATGAGGGCGGCCATGGCCTCCGCCTGCGCTAGGTCCACGCACCCGTTCAGGAAGGCGCGCAGGGTGAACTCGCCTGGGGCACAAGAGTGGGGGGGGGTTAGAGGGAAGAGGCAGGGGGGTAGAAGGGGGAGCGGATGAATGGGGGCCGCCACAACCTCCGCGTGTGCCAAAGCCACCGAGGACAAAGGGAGGGGGGAATGGGGGAGTGAGGAGGTGCATGTGTGGGTGCATTGAGTGGGGGACACGGGACGGCAATGGCGTGAGCTGGCCTGGCACTTACTCACATAGAAAACTGTGTTGTGCGCATTGACTGTGGAACACACATGGCACACCGTGTCAAATGACAGCACACTGGCAGGCCACATCACCTCATGCCACGTCATCACCTGCTCCTGCCAGCCTGGCGCCAAGGTGGACGGCAGTGGCGAGGCAGGAGTGGGCGCACACCCTGCCACCGTGGCAGTGCACCTCCACCACGTCCTCACTCGTGTACGAGCGCGGGGCGAGCATGGGCAGCACGAGCACCTGTGAGGCAGGGGAGAGAGAGAGAGAGAGAGAGGGAGGAGGAGAGAGGGAAGAGGCGAGGGCAGGTTGATGAGGCTTCACCACGTCCTCAGCGCGTGGACGACAAGAGCAAGTGGACTTTAGGGCGACAAGACAAACCCCACCGTGTCCTCAGTACATCCAGCATGGGAAGCTGTGGCACTTGGTGAGTAAGACACGATCGTTGGTTATGCTTATCAACCCACGCCCAGAGCCACGCGACGGCGCATAAACCCGAAACCCTGAGCCTTGACCCCTAAACCCTGACTGCTCGCATCCCCTGCGCGCACCTCATCAATGGTCGCCCCCCGTTCGTCCACAATGTGCCCGTAGCTCACTCGGTGGCTCTCCGCGCGCCACTCCCCCGCCGCTCCGCCCTCCCCGCTCCCCCCCCTTCCCCCCATCGCCTCTCCGCCTCTCCCCTCCCCTTCCTGGCTGCTCCCCTCGTTCCTCTCATTCGCCTCTCCCCGGAAATCCCCAGTATCTGTTCCCCACGCTCCGTTCCCCGCGCTCCCCGCCCATCCGTCAAGGTCTCCGCTTCCCCTGGCCATTCCCCCCTGCTTCCGCGCTCTGTTTGCTTTCCGCGCGGGGCGGAACATGCGCCGCACGATGCTCACAGCAGCCGGGCCGGAGAGCCGCACGATCGCGACGCCGCCTGACGTGGACGACACGGCAGTGACGACAGCCGCGATCGTGTCGCCGCCTGTTGCGGCGCCGTTTGCGGGAACGCTTCCCTCCCGCGCGCTTTCGGCGGAGCGGGAGGCGGAAAGGTAATCCCCCATCAATCCGCGGGTACCTTCACGGGGGGAAATCGCGGGCGTGCTGCGCGCGGAAAACGTCTGCGAGCCATCTAGATGCGCGGCAGCTCGCGCCCTGCCCTCTCCGCAATCGTCGCTCTGGCTGGTTTCGTCGACCGAATGGCAGGCAACGCGCAGGCCGCCGGGGCTGAAATGGGGGACACTAGGGATGCGATCGATGAGCGGAAGAGTCGAACGTGCAAGGGGGGCGATTGCGGGAGAAATGGGCGCCAAGCACAACGTTCTGAGTGCCATGAGGCGCGCGGGCGCAGCCAACGCCTGGGGTGGAGCGGAGGCGGTGTGCGCGATGTAAAGAAGACGTCGGACACGCGCGGTGAACGGCGGTTTAGCGCGCATGTAGATGCATGCGAGGCGCAGGGGCAGAGGCAGGTGTGCAGGAATTTCACACAAGGAACGGCTGTGGCAAACAACTGAGCTCCAAACAAGCCATTTGCGGAGTGGTGCGCTAAACGAATCTATGAACCTGCTTTTCAATGCACTTTGAAACACAATTACAGTACAACTACACCTAACTCCTTTCATCAATCTCTAACTTCTTTTGATAAGCATACAAAGAAGAGCGCAAGGCACGTCGTGTCAGAGCTCGTCGAGCAGTCTTGTGGCCAAGGGTGGGCGAAGAGAATACGTGGTGAGGATAAATGGTGTAGTCGCCAAGCACTTATTAAGAAGCGAGGGTGCAACGGCGGGGGAGAGGCGGCTAGGAGCCTCTCAAGTGTGCGGCAACGGCGAGGTCCAACGGCGAGGGGGGTGGCGGTGGCTTGTCTAGTGTGGTGGGCGCGGAGGAGCAGTCGAAGGTGGTGTCGATGGGGCGGATGAACGACTGGTCTCCCGGGTACTTGCCCTCCACAAACCTGGTGTGGTCAGGGGGTAGTAGGAGCACGGGGAGGGGAGCAAGGCGACATGATGTTGAGTTATCAAGTGACTTGAAAGGCATTTTGGGTCTTTGTGTGGTGAACCACTAGTTGCCCATATGCTTGACTCCTCCACATGCATTGTGGGGATGGGGGAGTGGCAGGAGTGTGTGGGTAGGGAAGACGGTGTAGGGTGAGAACACACATTGATGTTAGAGGAGGAACGTTGAGCTCACTATCATGCAGCATGATTTCCAGTTTGAGAGGCCCAGCGCATCCACTCCAGCTGGTGTCACACTTTCGTGCAGCATTTGAAAGTACACACGACCCACTTACACTATATCTTGCACGTCAAACATGTTGGTGTAGACCTTGTTGTTCGCGGGGTTAACGAGGTTGCTACAGTGCACCGCCTTGTCGTGATTGGCTGCCACGCACACAAACTGATGCCCCACTGCCATGCTGCGAGAGGATATGCTCAGATCCATGTTGGCACGTGGCGCCACCTGATTGGTTGGGGAGTTTTAAGCAGGGCTCATGTGGTGAGGGCAGGAGGGAAGGACGCCATGAGTGCAGAGGGGTCCAGTGCTATGGGTCAACGTGAGATGGTAGGATAGTGATGCAGAAAAAGGCTCTGATTATGTTAACCAGTGGAACTAAAGGAGGGCAAGGAGGCCAAGGTAACAATCGTGTGGAAACTGAGAGAGCAACATTAAGGGGGGGCATGCAGCTTACATGGTAGCCGGTGTTGATGAAGGTGAGGGCGGCGGCGATGTTGTCTTGAGGGCACTGCGCGCCACACGCGAGCAGCTTGTTGAAATCGATCACTGCCGTGCTGTCCTTGAGGACCAGCGACACCAGCGCCACGTAGAACGACCCCTGCGAGGTGGGGAGAAGGGGAGGGTGGGGGGGGGAGAGAGAGAGGGAGGTGGTTGGGTTGAGAGACCTCAGCACCAGCGACACCAGCGCCACGTAGAACGACCCCTGCGAGGTGGGAGGGGGAGAGAGAAGCGGTGGGGAGACCTCAGCAGCAGCGCCACTAGGACCACACAGTACAAGGGAGCAGAACCAAGGGGCGAGGGAGCAGGTGAGAGTGGACATGGGCAGGTGCACGAGTGCAGCCCCTGGTGGTTGCGTGTGGAACGAGGGAGGCGACGGGGAGAGAGGGGGAGACGGGTGCGATAGTGGCCAAGCAGAGAAACGGTGGCTCGATAACAGTTCAGTCAAGGCACAGGGGCGCTGTGGTGCTGACCTTGGGGTAGAAGAGGATCTTGTCGGGCATGGAGTTGGGCGGCAGAGTGACGTCAGGCCACTGCAGCGAGAACACCTGGTCGCTGCCCACGCCCGGCAGCATCTGCACCATGCGGATCACGCCCGCGCCGCTGTCCACGGCCAGTAGGAAGGTCTCGTCTGGGGTCAGGTACAGCCTGTCCGCCTGGAGGGGGCGTGTACAGGGACAGGGATGGGATGAGGGGATGCGTTGTGAGGATGGACGCATCTGCACCACGCGGAGCGGATCACACCGGCTTCTCCCCTGCCCTGTCTTTTCACCTCGCTTTCCCCCTCCCCCAACCAGTTCGCCTGCCCCTTCCCCACCTTGAAGTTACCGCACGTGGCGCACCTTGAAGTTGAGGTAGCCGACGGGCACGCTGTCGTCGCCGGCAATCTCGACGATGCCCGGTTCGGGCGCGTTGGGGTCGGGCGGACTGCCCGCCTTGGCGCACGACACGTACGCACGCCGATTCACCGCCGAATACACCGCCTCGAGCGTCGCTGGGGGGAGAAGAGGGCGGATTGGGAGCGCAGAACAGTTGAGGGAAGTGTCACCCCCCCAGGCGCATCGATGGGCTCGAACGCGGTAACGAGCAGACGAATTGCACGGATGACTAGCATCTCACCATACTGGCATCTTAGAATCTCACCGGGGCAGTAGATGGGCGTGTCGGGCGGCAGCCAGGGCTCGGATTGCAGCATGGCCTGGGTGAAGTCGAGGAACGGCACGTCGGACGACTGCGTGAAGAGGTTCAGCGAGAACACGCCCGGCATCTGCGACGCCGTCTGAAACGCCTTGCCGTTCAGCGCTGCGGGCGGTTGGACGGGTGGAGCGATGCGGGGGGAAGGAAGGGATGGGATGGACGGGAATGGACAGGAATGAGGGGGAATGGGGGGGGGTGCGAGGCAAAGGGTGAAGAGGTTCAGCAAGAACAAGCCCGGCATAGCAGGGGAAGTGATGGTAGGGCCCGGAGTGGGATGCGGTGGAAGGGGCGCTGACGGCGGGGTGGACAGGGGAAGTGCGCGCAGAGGACAAGGCGCGCAACACAGCGTACGGGAGCGGAGGGGCACGCGCAGGGAACGGCGTATGCGAGCGCGGCGAGCGCGGGCAGGGGAGCGTACCCGAGTCGGCGAGCAGGCGGCCGTAGCCCGCCTCGGCGAACTCGGAGGAGAAGCGCGCGCGCTGCAAGGTGTACGGCGGCGCTGCGGAAATGACGGCGAAGGTGCCGTTGACGTCTGCGTGGGCGAACACGCTTCCCTGCGAATGTGATCGTATTGAGGGGGGCATCACTTGCCTTAATCAAAGGGCAGCGTTTGAAATGCCTTGTTCATGATTTGAAGAATGCTGGCGGCTTGGGAGTAACAACTTGATGGCACTCTTGTCATTCACTCTCCAGCTTACTCATGTTATGTGTTACCACTTAAAATACGGTGACAGACTCACTGAATTTCTGGAGAGCCGCGTGTGATAAGTCGATTTTAGAGTCGACTCAAAAACTAGTTATCACTAAAAATACGGTGACAGACTCGCTGAATTTCTGGAGAACCGACCATCGTGATTATTGCTGTTGACCTTCGATCATGACAATCCGATCCCCACCACAACTCGCGCCACGTCAGCACTCACCACTTCAGGCACGAAGACGATGTCGTTGGGGATGTCGGGCACGGCGACAGACGCTGCGACGCTCTGCGACGAGGTGTTGACGACGAGCACCATGTCCGACAGCCCCGGCAGTCGCAGCGGCGTGGGCTGTTGGAAGCTGGCTGTGATGAAGATGGTCTGCTGATCGATGCCCGTCGTGTGCCTGTTCCACGTGCCTCTGCGGAGGCGGAGCGGGGCGGAGTGGGGAAGGGGAAGGGGGGGTAAAGAGAAGGGGCGGGGCGCAGATGGAAGAGAGGAAGAGGGGTGGGGGGAGGGAGGGGATGGGAATGTGGGGGATTATGAAAGAGTGGTTGCTCGATATCGAAATGGCATTCTGAGGCTAGATCGAGGGTTGGCGACGCGCTCTTGTCGTATGGCGAGGCGCGCACTTAATGAGGTTCTAAAAACATTTTGAGCTATACAACGCTCCCCTCACGTCTCGCATCTCGAGTCGGTGGTTACTAAACGAGCGAGGAGGGACGGCACTTACTGCATGGGGTGGCCCGGGCAGGAGTTAGGGAAGGGCGCGGGGGCGCCTTGCGACGTCTGGTTGATCTTTGTTACCACCTTCTGCGACACTGGGTCCACCACCACGATCTGTCGCACACGAGGGAAGCACGAGGCGGACGGTGGGCACGGAGTGAGTATGGTGAAGAGTGGCCGGCACAAGCGGATAGAGTGTGACTACGGCGAACAAAGTTAGCCATCGGCTGCACGGTGTGTGGGGCTTTGCGTCCGTTGCTAAGGGGAAGTGCGGCAACGGATATAATGAGTCTTATTCGGCGCGAATCTGTGCTATGCGACAGCGGTTAGCTCAAAACAATCCAGCGCACCCGTGCGTACTAACCTGCCCGGACATGAAGAAATAGAAGAGGCCGGGTCGCTGTGGATCGGGAAGAGTGACGTCAGCACGACATAGCGAGCAGAGCGACGCAAGCACGACTACAGCAGATAGGCATAGTTGCCACGGCACCCGCGGAGCCATGTTATTCCAGGAGCTTTGAGCGACAAGCTAAGGTCGAAGGTAAGTCACTGTAGGGAGGCTATACCAGTTCAACCTATCTGGCCTCCTTTAATTAAATGATACCTACAAGAAGCCTTCGAACAGAAACGAAATCTAGGTGAGACGTCCACACTGTTTCTCACAGATTCAGTGGGGCCTTAGGCGGGCAGCTCGCAGCATGGTTTTGGTTTGGAAGATGAGTAGTGAGTGACTCTCGTCGTGGAGCAAAGCACGAACTGCTTGCTCGAAACACCAGAGCTGGTGGCATTCTCACACTCGGCTTGTGGTTGGGGTGGGGATGGATGGGAATTGCGTGCGGCGCAGGTCCCTCCACAAACAGACCCCGTCGGTGGAAGGAGTACCGCGACGCGAATGTCGAATTCCTGGATGAGCGGCGCGGTACGATACGTGAGTTTTTGTAGCGAAAGGACTCCAGTCACTGGTCAAGCAGGCTCGTTACTGGAGCATAAGGATGATGTGGCGAGCCGCTTTTACGTAGAGGAACCACCTCCATTGCCATGTCAGCTGACCCAGGGCAGCCAAATCATCAGCAAGAGAGTCCCACGACGCGCAAATTTGGTGCCAGCTCCGCCATTCACATGCCAATGCCAGCCCTCATGGGGCACCGCAGCGCGCAATCCCCTCCACACCCTGCGCCTGAAAGGCGCACAGACGGGTTTCCGACACCAGTAGCGCGCGGATGGTCGGCCGAAAACACCTCTCACTGCAGCGCGCAGATATGGAGCAGCAGAGTGGCACAGAATGTTTTTGCATTGCGTGCAACTCCTTCCAAGCCACATCCCATGCATGTTCCGCCCCAGCCCGCCTTTGCACCTCATTGAGCCCCATCGTTGAGCAAGCACCTCATTTCTTCATTCCTTCGACACTAGTTCGAAACATTCACCTGACAGTCCTCACGAGCATGTATTTTCGGACACCCATGTGAGGTATACGTCCTGAATTTGTGTAACCCTTCTACTTGTTCTCAATTCAGTCTGACTGCAAATACCCATGAGGATGGCGTCTCGAGAGGTCATGCGCACCGCGTCGTTGCTGTTCGGATTGGTGTGCCTCTGCCGTCTGGTTCACGCAGACGTGGTGGCGAGCATGAGTCGCGGAATCTTCTACGCATTCGCGGACGGCCAGGCAAGTGTCACCTCACGTAATGGGATGCCTGGCATGCGTACAAGTTCTTAGAGCCACGGCGCGCGATCAACAATCGCGTGATAGTTATCACCTTCTAGAAAACTACTGCGACGCGACACGACGTTGACAGCATAAAGACGTATTGTTTTCTTACTTGAATAACTCGAATAAAAACTTCAGTGGCGCCACACTTACAGGCTGCAAGCTTGACCGTTGTCGTCGCGATAAGTCCGAACAAAGGCTGGAGAGCGGGAAAACTCGAGAGGTCGAGAGGGAGTGAGCGGTGCGAGCGAGCGGTGGGTCGGGAGTTCAGCGCTGGTTGTGGATTATTTAGGCACCTCAGGGTATGAGCACTCAACGGCGTGACGGCAACCACGTATCGTCGCTTCTCCGTTCACGTCTTCCTTCCCCATTCCTGCCTACCTGCCCTCCCTGGCTGCCCGATCACGTGACGCCAGGTGGTGCTGATTGATCCAACGAAAGGCAGTCCGCTGGCGTCGCTGCGCGCGTTCAAGGGGCCATCGGGGCACATCCCCTTCCCCAACAAGTGCCCCGCGCACCCCTTCAGGTATGGCACAAACTCTCAGGTACGGCACACCTCTCAGGTACGGCGCAAATCCTCAGGTGCGATGCATACCTAGATGCACGGTTCTGATCTTCTATGCCAGCAAATCCCACCGGAGCTCCAATCTCCGCCGTCCCCCGCATCCGCGCACATCTCCGCCGTGCACAATCATTTCTTGAATCCCTGGACGTGACTCCGCTTCTTCCCCTTCCTTCCCCCTCCTTCCCCTTCATCCCTTCTCCTTCCCCTTCATTCCCCCTCCTTCCCCCTCGTTTCCTTTCCTTTCCGTGCCGCTATCAGGGGCGAGTGGCGCAGCGTGGCGTTCGGCCCAGCGCAGCGCACGCTGCTGGCCGCGGCGAGCTACAGCACGAGAGGCGCGCTTCGCCTGCCGGAACTCACGGACGCGCTGCACGTGTTCGACACGGTCGCAGCGGACGTCACGGCGCGAGTGCCGCTGAACAACACGCCGGATAGCGTGTACTTCGTCCCCCTCGCTGTAAGTATAGCCGCCACTCCGCGCGCTCTGGGGCGCTCCGCCGTCCGCAAGCATTGCGAGTCTCTCACCGTCCCTCACCCATCGCCCCGTCGCTCCGTTCCTCGTGCCCCTTGCGACCATTTCCCCGTCATATCATTCCCCTTGCACCCCCCTACTTCCCCGCTCCCCAGAACGAGGTGTGGGTGCACGCGGCCGACGTGGCGGACCGCTACTCGTTCTCCATTCTGTCGGCGCAGCCGCCGTACGCGGAGGTGCACAGCCAGGGTATCAACACCATGCTCCCCGTGGGACGCGCGCGCCTGCTGCAGAGCCCCAGTGAGTCACTTCCCCCAGCACCCCTTTCCCCGTATACCTTCGTGCACACCTGCCCGCACACGTGGGTAATCTCGCGCATCTTGCCCGACAACCCCCCTCCCCTTCCCTCCTTTCTCATTTCCCCCTTTCCCCTTCCCCCTTGCCTCCCGGCGTAAGCGCAGACCTGGGCACGCGCGGCTATCTGACGACCTCGGGATCATCGGGGGTGTACACAGTCGACCTCGCGCGCCCCTCTATCGCGCCCGCGCTCTTCCTCTCCTTCCAGGAATCTGCCGCCGTCTCACAGCGCGCCTGCCCCGGCGCGCTTTCCAGCGCGTACGCACGCGTGCTGCGCCACACATTCGTCTCCTGCGCACGTCCGCCCTCCGCCTCCCCCGTTTCCCCTGCTGACGGCGGAATCGGGATCGGCGTGAGCGAGGCCGGCGCGGGCGCACGGAAGGCGAGCGCGGGGGAAGGATTGGCGGGAGCGGGGAAACTGGCGACGGTGCAGATCGACGCGCATACCAACCTGATCGTGGGCGTCTGGCCGTTCGCTGTAAGCGCACTGGGGAGAGAAGAACGCGCGGGGGTCTGTTGTACAAGTGGAGTTATACAGTATAACGCGCGATATTGGTCGATTGAGAGTGGATGGAGTGATGGGAGAAGCGTGGGAGAACGGGAAGGTTGTGGCGAGAAGCAGAGGAAGTGAACCTTGAGCAATGGGGGGATACGGTCGAATGGAGTAGCCCGTTCCGGATCCAGTGCTCGTCCTCTCCTCTCTCCAAATCCCCGCCCCCTACATCTCCTACCTTCCCTCCCACCTGCTCCCCCACTTCCGCTCCCCCACCCCCGCCGCGCGCGCGCAGGGCGAGCTGTACATGGCGCCGGACGAGAGCTTCCTCTTCGTGCTGGATGCGACAAACAAGGCCATCCACCTGCTGCAGCTGAGTGCCGTCCAGCCGCCGCCCTCGCAGCCCAACGGGCAGCCGCAGCCCACGCCGCGGCCGCGCCCCAACGTGACAGCGTGGCAGCCGCTGACGTTCAACGTGGACTACACGCCGCTCAGGATGGTCTTCACTCCCAAGGTGAGACCCACGTGGGGGGCTCGCGTTTGTCCCTTCCCCTTCCCCTTCCCTTCCCCTTCCCCTTCCCCTTCCCCTTTCCCTTTCCCTTTCCCTTTCCCTTTCCCTTCCTACCTGGTGCACATTGACGTGCTCTTCTCTCCTCCGCACTATCTCGCGTGGCGGAGGGCGGAGTGATAGCGTGGCTGAACACGCAGCAGCTCATGCAGAGTGCTCTCTGCCCTCCCCTCCTCTTCCTCCCTCCTCCACTCCCCAACTCCCCCATTCCCCACCCTTTTTTCATCACCCATTCCCATTCACAGCCGCCGCACTACCTGGTGTACATAAGCGTGGCGGAGGGCGGCGTGATAGGGCGGCTGGACATGCAGCAGCTGATGCAGTGCGGCAGCGGGTGCTCGGCAGGCAACATGCAGTCCTTTGTGCAGTTCGAGCAGCAGATGGGCGAAAACGTGAGTTGCTAGCTAGCTACACTTCATACACATATATATTGTGAGCATGCAAGTGGCTGTTGTTGATGAGCATTCCAATTCATTCCCCCCTGTTTCTCCCTTTCTCCTCATTATCCTCCCCCAGTCACCTCCAAGAGGTGGCCTTGTGCTCTCGCGGCCGGTGGCAGCAGGTGGGGGCTACGTGTGCCAGGTGGCGGCATATGATCGCAGCATAGTGTGCTTGGAGGAGGCCACGGGCCAGAAGACTCCCTATGCCAACATCAGCGATGTGCAACACTTGATGTGAGTGCCGCCATCACACCCGCTTTCCCTGCATACACCTCCTTTTACTCGTGACCATTTGTTTATCTTGGTTCCACCATTGCACCCATTTGTGTGTTCACCATTCTCTCTTCACCCTTCTGTCCCTACAGATTTGTCCCCGGTGTCTATGTGGGAGCCCCCCCCTTGACTGCCTTGAACACGAGCGTTGATTGCACCACCATTCCCAGAGACATCAGTGTGCCACCAGCTCCGCCTGCTCCCTCTGCAGAGCCCAAGGCAGCAATGAGAAATCTCGTTTTCGGATCTCTTTGGCATATAGCGATAATTATCCTTGCTCTAGCGTTTATTGCTCAGCACGATTTGTAGCAGATAAGCACAGTAGTGGTAGGAAATAAGTTCATGCGCTTCATTCTGTGTAAAATGAGTTCGCTATGACGCGCATAGTGCGTATTTTGTGATACCGTACTCTGTCAAAATCCAAGTCCCATTCAGTGTCAAGGTTCTTTCTCGGGAACTGCAATTTTCCCGAGTTTTCCAGGGGACATCCACGGTATAAATAGGCAAGCTTCTCATTCGCTTGACCACACCATGCACTTCATTCTCTGCTCTCCCTCGGCCCTCCCGATCTGCGAGATGTGGCCCACAGGGATTTCAAACCTAGCTCAGGCTTCGCATGAAGGAATATATTAGAGAGCGTAGCGATAGCGAGAGAGTCTCTGCTATGGGAATGATGTTGCGCCAGCAACTTGGTAGAGTTTTGGTAGCGTTTGCCTCTAAGGACTTTGTGAGAATTGAAGTAGCATTTGGGCCAAGTAGAATTGCAATATCAATTATCAAACACACAAGCAAACACAAACATATATAGGCAAGCAAGAGTTGCACAATTGTTGCGTGGCGCTGCGAGTAACCCAACCCACACGAAAGTGCTGTGCAGGTGGGTGAACGCGCCCCGCACATTTCCAACCCAACTCGGCACCGGAATGTCTCACCGTGCACGCTACTCCTGCCAACACAGCAAGTGAGCAGCGTGCCTCACAAGCAAGGCACCTACGACCCCCAAGACTCGTCATTCCTAGCACCGATTCCGCCGAGTTCGCTGCAGTAGCTCACAGTCACCCGTAGTCACTAATGACCGCCACCGAACTCGTGCGTCGGTGCCGAGTAGACTCAGTCGTTAGGCGCCGACCTGCCAAGTCAAAGGTCATCGAGGGCCCTTGCTGTCGTAGGGCCCTCTAACACTCCCCTGCCATACTACAGCAAGGCCCTTTATAATCACAGGGCATGCATACACACATACACACCAAAACAAAGGGATACACACAAACGAAACACGCTCAAAGTGTAAACACGCACCGCACCAACCATGGATAGGCCATGGCACCATCCACATCATGGAGTGTCTAGGTCTTCACTCCCCTCACTCGAGAGCCGCACCTGCCCCACAGCCTCGAAGCAACGACTGAAGGCGGGGAAATGCAATGCCTTTGTGAGGTAGTCAGCAGGCTGCTCGCTCGTAGGGATGTACTGCAGCTGCAGCTTCCTGCGCTTGACCATGTGCTGCAGCCACATGTGACGACGCTCCATGTGCTTGAGGCTCCCCTTGAGCCCCATGCCACCTGCCACTGAAATGGCGGAGGAGTTGTCCACAAAGAGAGTCGTGGGCTCCTCACTCCTCAGCAGTTGAAACTCTGCCAGCAGGAAGCGCAGCCTGCGCGCCTCCTTCCCACCCTCCACAGCAGCAACGTACTCAGACTCAGTGGAGGAAAGGGTGGCGCAACGAATCCGCTGGCTCGCCCATGAGACAGCAGCACCCCCGAGCACGAAGACATAGCCACCTGTGCTGGTCCTGTTCTGCTTGTCCCCTGCATCATCAGCATCGGCGTAGCCCACCAGCTCCAAGGACTCCGGCCCACCACCAAACTCCAGCGCCACATCCCTGCTCCCCACCAAGTACGTCAAGCACCGGTCCAACTCCTTCCAGTGCTGATCACTCCGCACAGTCTGGCCCGACCCCAGCTTGCTGCAGGCGAACGAGATGTCGGGACGGGTGGTACAGGCCGCGAACTGCAAGGATCCCACCTTCTGCCTGTACTCCTCCTCCTGGCGAGACTGCCATCCCACATCCTCGAAGGTCTGCACACTGAAAGGGTCAGAGGAAAGAGGGGTGCGAGGCACTCGCAGCGGCTGCTCCCCGTCAAAGAAGCGCCTATGGACCTTGTCCACATAGGCCCCCTGGTGCAGCCACAGCCTCCTCGTGGGCCTGTCCCGAATCAGCTGCAACCCCAGATATTTCTCCACAGGGCTAATCTCCCGCAGCTGAAAGGCACTCTGCAGCAGGTCACGCAGCTCCGCTAGCATGCTCTGACTGCGGCTGGCAGCAAGCAGGTCATCCACATACACCAGCAGCCAGCACATCTCCCCCTCAGCATCAGTCTTGAAGTACAGAGCCTCATCCACGCCACTTCTGGAACGCCGCCAGCGCATCACTCTTCTGGGCCAAAGGGTAGGCCCCGACATATCGCGTCTTGCGATCCTTCAGCACCAAGAAGTAGCGGCTGCCGTCCTTAGCTGCTTCACGGAAAGGGCCACACAGGTCAGCATGCACCACCCCGAGCAACTCATTCTCCTCCTCTCCTACAGAAGGAAAGGTATGACGAGTGATCTTTCCCCCAACACAGGAGACACAAGGTATGCCTGACTTGCCCCCCTTCTCCAAATCCAAGCCCGTCACTGACCCGTGAGCCGCTGTGCGCTCGATGGCATCAATACCAACGTGTGCCATACGCGCATGCCACAGGTCCCCCTTAGACCGTACGCCGGTCGCCAAGGTACGAAGTGCCACCGTTTCGCCTTCCTGCTGCTGCGTCGAACACGGCTGGAAGTTCGTGCAGAGAACACGCCCCTTGAACTCCGCACGACCAAGGAGCGATCCATCTGGTGCCCTCAGCAAAGTCACATCCCCGGCATCCAGCAGCTGCACACCACTATCACGCAGCTGCCCAGCAGAGAGAAGACTCGCCTGCACTCTTGGTACGTACAGCACGTCCGGCACCAAGACACGCCTGCCCCCCTCCCCAAGAAGAGCGACTGTGCCTCGCCCCTGCACCTCCTGAAGGGCGCCGTTGAAGCCGGTAACCTGCTTAATGCTGCCGCCGCTGCTCATCTCCACAAAGGCAGAACGATCTCCCATGAGATGGTGGGAGCATCCGCTATCAAGCAGCACGACGCTCGGGTTCGCCTTCACAGCAGCTGCAACAGCCTGTAAGCCCTCCCCGGCCTCAGGCTCTAGCACAACGAGAGGAGTCTGCTCCACAACTGGCTTCACCATCGCACATGATGACTGCCCGCTCCCCTTCGAGCCATCACCCCCCTTTCCGCTGCTACCTCCAGAACCCTCTCCACCGGTGTCTGCCTCCTTATCCGCCCGCTGCTGACAGTACTTAGCAACATGCCCTATTTGTCCACACACATAGCACTTCCCCTTGAAGCCCCCTTTCCCCCCCTTCGGCTGGCCATCCTTACCCCCTTTCCACTTCTCCCCTCCCCCACCAAGCCCACCCCCATTCTTAGGCTGCTGCTGCTGTGCCGTAGTGGGAGGGGAAGGGAATGAAGTCTGCTGGAATTGGGGCTTACCCTTCTTGGTAAAGACCTGGTTAGCCTGGGGAAGAAATTGGTCCTTTCGTCCCTCTGCCGCCAGCGTACACTCCTCCTCGATGATGTAGCTAGCGAGGGTGTCCTCGTCCAACTCCTTGCGAACCTGCGGCAACTTCAGCATCCTGCGTAAGAGGTTGTACTGCTGCGGCAACCCCTTCACAACGTGAGTGATGTACGACGCCTGCGAGTAATCTACGCCGGCCATCCTCAGGTTCACTAGGATCTGCTGCGCACGGTTGCAATAGGACGTAGCGGACTCGTGCTCTCCCATCTCGAGGTTAGTGAGCGCCTGCTCTAACTGACCGATGTACAGAACGTCCTTCGCCATGTACGTGCGCATAATAAACTGCCATGCCTGATAGCCGGCATCGACCTTCATGCGACACGCCTTAAGGGCGATCTGTACGGTTGGGGAGCAGCATCGGGAAATGGTGGTGAATGTCAGCAACTGCATCGCGCGGAACTGAGAGAGATGCGCAAGCGCACGCGCTGGTGGAATGGGGGTGGTGCCATCTATGAATCGCTTTAGCTGAGCGATCTCAAGCTGCGGCTCGATTGATTCTGTCCACGTCGACAGGTCGTGACGTCCTTCTAACGGCCTAGTGACAACGATCTTGTCTGGAGTGAATCTGAAGTAGCCATAGTTGGGGGCTATTCCCTCGTCCCTCGACATCGATCCAATCGGGGTAACGCCCGGCATAGCCTCACTATCGAACTCTTCCGCAATTCCTCCTCCAGCAACGCTCCGCCGTCCTACATTCGCATGCTCTCGTGACGCTGCTGCACGATGAACACGCTCCTGTACACCGCCAACGCTAGCCGTACTAAACCGAGTTGGTCCTCGCAGGACCCCACGCGACATCAACCCATCAAACTCCTCGTCATCGCTATTTCCGCCATCGACAGCCATATCCCACGCACTATTACCTCCCGCAACTTGCTCAACATTCTCTACACGTGGCGAAGGGTGCTCACGACGCCGACGCGAGCGCAATCCCTCCAACATTAGCTCGTATTCGATATCACTAATCTCACCACGAGAATGACGAGCCACGAGATCCTCCTCTAGGGCGCGCAAATTACCGGCCTCCACGTTCGCCTCCTCTGTACTCATCCTCTACGACGTCTCTATAAGGTACCACAAATTAAAATAAAGTGCCCCTTCCTTAAATCCCTCGTCTCGGGGTCACCTCACAAGGGTCCTCAGACGAGTGGTAATAAATTACCAAACGCCCTATCCTTGGGTCCGAGAACGTAACTGGAGGGAAATCAAGAGAGGTTCAACTTAGATTAATAAGCGCCCTTCACTAACGCCGCACTCCAAGGCGAGTATACGAACGCGAATATCAACGACGACGGAAATCTATGCGTGTTCGTTCCACGCTCACCGCACCATGAAGGAATATATTAGAGAGCGTAGCGATAGCGAGAGAGTCTCTGCTATGGGAATGATGTTGCGCCAGCAACTTGGTAGAGTTTTGGTAGCGTTTGCCTCTAAGGACTTTGTGAGAATTGAAGTAGCATTTGGGCCAAGTAGAATTGCAATATCAATTATCAAACACACAAGCAAACACAAACATATATAGGCAAGCAAGAGTTGCACAATTGTTGCGTGGCGCTGCGAGTAACCCAACCCACACGAAAGTGCTGTGCAGGTGGGTGAACGCGCCCCGCACATTTCCAACCCAACTCGGCACCGGAATGTCTCACCGTGCACGCTACTCCTGCCAACACAGCAAGTGAGCAGCGTGCCTCACAAGCAAGGCACCTACGACCCCCAAGACTCGTCATTCCTAGCACCGATTCCGCCGAGTTCGCTGCAGTAGCTCACAGTCACCCGTAGTCACTAATGACCGCCACCGAACTCGTGCGTCGGTGCCGAGTAGACTCAGTCGTTAGGCGCCGACCTGCCAAGTCAAAGGTCATCGAGGGCCCTTGCTGTCGTAGGGCCCTCTAACATCTCATGTGTCGCAAATTCGATCAGTCCGACGGTACTCATTCCGACGCTCAGTTGCGTGACAATCACCTCCTCGTTCTCACGCTCACCGCGCCTGCGCACCCCGCGCGCGCCCTCTCCGAGTCCGCTGTACCGCCGCGTTATGGCCACTGTACATCTCATGCCGGCGCGCTCTTTCCTCGCCGTCCTCCCAAGCGTTTGACGTCAGTCTCTCGCGCTTTTTCTCATAACCTGTCAAGCAACCAGTCCATGGCTCCCGAAGAGGGAGAGGGTAATTGCGTGGGCTACGCCGCGCACGACGCGAGCGGGGTGCTGGCGCCGTGGAGATTCAATCGCAGGGAGGTGGGGCGGAGGGACGTGAAGATCCGCATCACTCACTGCGGCGTATGCCACAGCGACGTGCATTTCACCCGCAATGACTGGGGCTACTCCCTGTACCCCATGGTCCCCGGGTAAGCTGCTCTTCCCGCTCCGTTCCAAGTCGCTGCGTCCATCCTGCCATCTGTTTCCAACCAACCTCGTCCCTCTCCCCGTCGCCATTCTTCTCTTCTCTTACTGCCTTCCACGCGATCGCATCTTTCGTCCGAAATCTTCCATCTCACTTGCAGCATGACTCTCATCCCGCCTTCTGTCTGTCTGAAACTTGAAGTTCACTCAACGTTCCTTCAAATGGCTTGTTCTCGTTACAGGCACGAGATCGTGGGGGTGGTGGAGGAGGTGGGAGCGCAAGTGAGCAAGGTAGCAGTGGAGCAGCGGGTGGGAGTGATGGGCATCATGGGGTCGTGCGGTGAGTGCGAGGCGTGCAGGCAGCACGAGGAGCAGTTCTGCTCCAAGTGCCTCTTCACCTCCAACTCGGTGGACCCTCACTCGCCGTCCGGCGAGGCCACTTACGGCGGCTACTCCTCCTTCATCGTGTGTGACGAACAGTACGTCGCTCTGCCCTGTTGTGTAACCATGCTGCTTAGCCATGTTGCATATTCGTGTTTGTTTAACAAGGCCGTTAGTCATGTTGTTTTCGGAATAGACCCACTCCCTCCCTCTCCTCTCCTTCTCGACCTGCCTTTCAGTTGTCCTCGGCAATTTCTCACAAAATTATTTTTGCATATTTTTTCCGCTTTTCCCCCAACCCCCCCGCCAGCTTCGTTCTCTCCATCCCTGCTGAGCTGGCGTCTGACGTGGCAGCCCCCCTGCTGTGCGCTGGCACCACGGTCTACTCGCCCATGATGCACTACGGCGCCAACAAGCAGGGCATGCGCCTGGGGTTGGCAGGGCTGGGCGGGCTGGGCCACGTGGCAGTGCAGATGGGGCGGGCGTTTGGCATGCACGTCACTGTGCTGAGCATACAGGCGCACCAAGAGAGGGACGCCAGTGAGCTGTTTGGGGCTGACAGGTTCATTCTCACCACTGATGCAGCCGCCATGCAGGTGGGCTTGTGCTGGGATGTGGTGATTTCTACGTGCGTGCTTGGCATCAAACAAAAGGGGTCTCAAACCTTCCATTCCAGTATCTTGGTACGCATCTCCCAAGAATCCACCCTCAAACTTCTTGGCTGCTGCTGTGTTTGTCCGTGCAGTCAGTAGCGGGCTCACTGGATGTGGTCATCGACACGGTGCCGGTGCAGCATGACCTGGGGCCCTTCCTCGACCTCCTCACATTCAACGGAAAGCTGCTCGTGCTAGGCATTCCTGTAGCCCCCTTCACTCTCCACGCCAGCCAGCTTGTGTTTGGTAATTACACTGCTGCTTGACAACCCTAATTTATCTGAGTGACGTTTGTGTTGCTTCAAGCAGCAGCATCAGCTCTAGGCTGTGTTTAGTCCGTGGTCCCTGGCTCTTGTTTCTTGCATTCTGTTGCACGCTTTCACGGAACTGATTTGGCTGGCTCATCATCGTTGCCTGTCTTCCATTTCGGTGCTCTGTGCTGCTTGTCTTTCTGGTGGCTTGACAGGGCGTAAGATGGTTGCGGGTGGGTTGATAGGAGGAATCAGGGAGACTCAAGAGATGTTGGAGTTCTGTGCAAAGAATGGTGTGGCGCCCATAGTGGAGAGGCTTGATATCAAGGACATCAACAAGGCACACGAACGTTTGCTGAAGGTAAGAGCATGGTAAATTTAGAAACGCACGAACACATCATGTGTCTCGTCTCTTTCCAATGCTATGGTACTTATATACCGTTCTCGTTTGTTGTGCTTGATTGGATTTGCAGGGTGCCGTGAGGTACCGTTTCGTGATTGATATGGAAAACAGCCTCGAGGATCTGATTGCCACAAATTAGTGTGGTTCTAGTTTGGATGAAGTCTCCCTTGCGTAGTGTCTGTTGCAGTTGCAGTGCATACTTGTTAACCATGATTTGGGCCATTCCAAGTTCATATGCAAGGGAATGCTGAAACTACCGTATAATGAAACTGGTTCCTGGCATTCAACGAAAGCATACCGTAAGAAACCCAGCTGAACCGCATTCGTACTGCAAAAGCTAAGTGCTGTTCGCCCCTTCACACTGAACACATCCTGCGACCCTGGAGATCACTCACTCACCATGCTTTCTCGGGATTCACGAGCTTCCTCCTTTCGCTTGTCGGGGTTCCCGAAAGCACTAGCATCGCTCGCCGCGCATCTCGCGCGCTCCCTTGCTCCTCCCAAACCATGTCGACGGCGCTGCGAAATGTCGAGTCACAATGTTTGACCCAACGGCATCGCGACCATACCTCGTTGACGAGGCTAGCTATCCCTGAAGCTTGTCTGATTACGCGAGATAATTCTCATTCCCGTCCCATACCTTTTCGCTTCGCCACGTGGCCGATTCAAGCAAGGCTGTTAACTCCTTTTTCGGGTCCTTCAAATCGCCGTGGAGTAGCCTGCTGCACCGTCGTCCCTTTTTCCACGCCTTGTCCTCCCGCCGTCCCTAGTAAAGCCACTCGAATTCCTCCTCTCCCAGCTCCTCCCTAGCAAAAGCTACAGTCAAGGGACTAAATCGGCCCATCAATGGCTCCTGCAGAAGGCGAGGGGAACTGCGTTGGGTACGCCGCGCGCGACGCGAGCGGGGTGCTGTCACCGTGGAGGTTCCATCGGCGGGAGGTGGGGCCCGGCGACGTGAAGATCCGCATCACTCACTGCGGCGTGTGCCACAGCGACGTGCACCTGGCGAGGAACGAGTGGGGCAACTCCATGTACCCCATCGTTCCCGGGTAAAGCTCCTCCTCCGTACTCCCTCGTGCTCTCCTGCTACTCCATTCCTCCAGCTCTCACCTCGCGTCTCCATCCTGCTCCCTCATGCCTTTCCTCCCCCACACCGTTCGTCCTGGGAGTCATCTCACCCACTTTGCATCCACACACTACTCACCGCTTGAGGGAACATCCTGTGCCTTCTCCTTTCCATGTGCCTTTCCGTTGCAGGCACGAAATCATAGGAGTGGTGGAGGAGGTCGGAGCGGAGGTGAGCAAGGTGGCAGCGGGGCAGCGAGTGGGTGTGGGGTGCATGGTGGGGTCGTGCGGTGGGGTGGCGGGGCTGGGCGGGCTGGGCCACGTGGCAGTGCAGATGGGGCGGGCGTTTGGCATGCACGTCACTGTGCTGAGCACGTCCCAGGGCAAGGAGAGGGAGGCGAGGGAGGTGATGGGCGCGCACAGGTTCATTGTCACCAAGGATGCTGACGCCATGAAGGTGGGCTGGCTTATCACCTGTCATGCTGCGGTGCTTTTGGGTTGGTACCCCTTGACATGCCGAACCACAGTTTTCGGTGTTTTATTCACTTTATCAACATGGGATTCCGCTGCTCTTGCTGTTGGGTGTGGTAGGCAGCAGCGGGCTCACTGGATGTGGTCATAGACACGGTCTCAGCGCAGCATGAGCTGGGGCCCTACCTCGACCTCCTCACATTCAATGGAAAGCTCCTCCTTCTCGGCATCCCCCCAGCACCCTTCACTCTCCATGCCAGTCAGCTTGTGTTCGGTGAGTTACCATATTTATATGGCTTTCGTGCCCCTTCAAACCAGCAGGAGGTTCCATGCTCCTTGAGTTGTGGCTCTCCTGGCGCATTGTTGAGTGTAGTGCTCAACATCTTTTCGTATCCCTAAAACCCGAAACCCTGAGCTCGCTGTTTCTTACTGTTGTTGTGGCAATGTTATCACAGGGCGTAAGATGGTAGCAGGAAGTTTGATTGGAGGAATCAAGGAGACTCAAGAAATGCTGGAGTTCTGTGCAAAGAATGGTGTGGCTCCCCAGGTGGAGAAAATTGCCATCGGAGATATCAACAGGGCATATGACCGTTTACTTAAGGTATTAGTTAGGTTGGGAAGTATGTTGTCTGTTTGCGTGCAACACTGTTCTGATGGGCTGGATGTGTTTTTGCAGGGTGATGTGAAGTATCGCTTTGTCATTTATGTGGAGAACAGCTTGAAGTAGGAAATACCTGTGCGGATATTGCTATCAGTGTGATGTATCATACAGTGATACTGGTAGAGCTCATTGAATCAAAATGATAGGTAGCTACGTTTCATATAAATATTCCTTATTATGCGTGTACCATATGTTTCCTCGGCTTATCTCGTCATATTAGGCAAATGTGGAAATGCGGTGTAACGGGAGCTAACATCTGGAATGCAACTGCCCGAGATTGTTGACCATGGAGAAGTTCGTCGCCTTTCAAGTAATCTTTGTCGCGAGTGTAGTCAAGGCGATTGGATTTGTCTCTAGCGCTTTCGCGAGCTGTTAGAGACGACAGTTTTGCTGACTAGTTTCCATCGCACCGTTACCTCAACCGTAGTAACACGTCGTTAAAATCGCCTTCGCTTCGCCTCGACCGCCCCACATCCTCCTCCCACGCACGCGAGAATCGCCATCCTCCCCGAATCTGAACCAAGATTTGTTTGTCCCCTCAGTCACTCGCTCACCTCACATGCCACCACTTCCTCCTCCGCCGTATTCCCCAGCCGCACCCATCACCGCCATTCTCAACCCCAATATAGGTAACGTGAGAGGCAGTGATGCTCACTTCGAAGCCATTCCAACCAAGCAGCATGTTTGCTTTACCATGCTGTGATGGCTAGCATGGCTGCCTCATTTGTTTGATTTCTTTCCCAACAGCTGAGCCTTCTTTGCAGCTGCTGCATCGCGTTTTAGCTTTCCTGGTTCACAGTTCTTGCGGAGCTGCTATCCCGAACTCTTTCCTTGTTTTTGCTGCAAGAAACCTGCCTGTCGCCATGGCTGCGCCATTGGTAATGCTTAGCGAGCAAGTCGGGCCGAGAAAACGATTCGCGGAGAAGGCGATCCGAGTGATGCAGCTGCTCGACAACGATAAGCCGTGTAACGCGGTCGATTTGGATCCTAACATTCGAGTTACTACCAGGCCAACTAGGTCGGTCCCGGTTGGCGCGCAGGCTTCGCCACGTCAGCAACTCCCGAGCCACCGGCGAGAGCCGCCACGACTGTCTTTGCAACTCTCCGAGGGGTATGAATGCGACGTAACGACGCCTAATTTGCGTGCTTCTCGAACTCCATCTGCCTCATCTATAAAAAGTAGCTCCAAGTCCTCCTCGGCCTCGCCGCGTTTGGCGGCTTCCCGTTCATGCGGTAGCGCTTCGACAGGGTCACCTAACGGCTCCGACGAGTCTTCGTTGTTTCTCGTCGCTGGCCAGGTCAGCGCGATTCGGCATTCGGCGAGTACCTCGGCGCTCGAACCGCCGTCGAGTGTCCGCCTGAACAGCAGCAGCATCGCGGCGAGGCGCACGGCGGAGGCAACCCGTGAGAATAACCCTCGGGGACCCGTCGCGGCTAGTGCTCGTAAAACGGATGCTTCTTCATCCTCCGACGCGCGAGTAACGCCGCGCTCGCGGCGCGGCCTGAGATTCAGCTCCGAGATGGGCGGCGCCGCGGCGACGAGACTTGAAGTCCCCCAATCCCGTCAACTGCGCCACAACGACACTTGGCATGGCGAGTCGCTCGATCGCCTGGCGATCCCGAGGGCGCGGACCGACGTCGCTCGCTCGTCGCATCATCTGTCGCCGCGAGAAGCGCCGCGACTGCTGCTTCCCCGCGCAGCGGCAGGCCCTGGCGGACAGCGCACCGACCCCGCCTCTTGCGCTCCCCATCACCCATCGCCGCGCTCGTCCGGCAGAGGCGCCGCGACTCGCGGCATACTGAAGAGCGGTTCGGACCCAGATCTGGCGGCTAGAGAATCCAACTTTGCAAAATCGACGACGCTGACACGTGTCATGCCCTCCGCAATCGCCGCTGCTGTCGACACGCGGCCCTTGCTCCAAGCGCAGCCGCAGCGTCCAAGCAACAGGGCGAGAGGGCCGACGACGACGCTGAGCCGTCAGATTCCGCGGCCAGCAGCCCTGGTGATCGATTGCGATGCAGGCGATGATGACGACGTGGCCGAGCCGCCTCTATCAGCGAAGAACCACCACACGTCGCCTGCTAGTCACACCCGCCAACGTCGCGATAGGCGCAGCCCCGCTGCGCCCGGCGCCAGCCACCAGGATCAGTTCCCCGTTGGCGGGACGACCGTTGGAAGGGCGCAACGGGGACAATGCTCCGCCGTGGCGCAAGCTCCTTCCGCCTCCTCCGCCTCGCCCCTGGACCCCGCATCCCCTTCCGCCACCTCCCCCCGCTTCCCCTGCGCCATCCCGTCGCCTCGTCTCATCCCCATGGCAGCTCCCACAGCCTATCTGCAATCGCCACGTCAGCAGGTGCTACCATCAGCCTCTCTGGGCGGCAGCTCCCCTGCAATTCACCGTCAATCAACCATCGCCACGGGCAGTCCGGCTGGGCATATGGAACGGCGGAGGCAGGAGCCTGGTACTGAAAGAAGGGGGCAGAGGAGGGGCAGCAACGGCGGAGGCAGCAACAGCCGGCAGCTGAGTCGCTTCCACACGTGGGACAGTGCGCTGCTCGACGACGAGCCCGCCCCGCAGATAACACCTCCCCCGGGTCCCCCCTCCTGCCGTGAGCACCGGCCCTGGAGGGGATTCTCTGGCCGGCACCACGCGGCGGAGCAGTCGGAGCAGCCGTGGGCTGAAGGGGCTGACTGGGAGGAGAGGGACTGGCGTGGCGGTGTTGCTGGTGGCGCTGGTGGTGGCGTGGCACAGGCGGCAGCAGCTGCGCATGCTGCATCGCCCTGCACGGGGCCCGTGACTCGGTGCCGCTCGCACTCACTCCACCTCATGCAGCCGTCTCTAGTGGAGCATCCCTTGGCACGGCATGCCATAGAGGAGCACCTTGTTGCGCAGCATCCTATACCGCAGCATCTCGTGGCGGGGCATACCATGGCAGAGGATCCCACTGCGCGCCAATGCCACGCTCACTCCGTTGGTCGCCGCCCTGTGCCCTCCACGCTGCTCCCGGACTGCCGCCTCCCCCGGCGCGCGGCATGTGACGAGCGGACCGTGCGACACGCACGTGCGGTTTCGCATGGCGGTGGGGGTTTGGGTGTGCAGAGAGAGGGGGAGATGGCTGGGGCGGGAGAGAATATGCGGTGGGTGGAGGGGAAGGGTGGGGGGGAAGTGCAGGCGACATCATGGAAAGAGGAGGGTGAATTGGGGGGCATGGAGGCAATGGGAGGGTGGCAGAGGGGTGTGGAGGCTGCTGATATGGAGTGTTAAGGGAATGAGAGGCATGGCCTCGTAGGGACACAAGTGCAGCATGCTGCCTTTGTCCCGGTCCTTGGAGATGGGCCGCGTCGGAAGCAGACCCGAAAAACAGACTCGTTTCAGCATTGCGCTGCCGTCGGTGACGACAGCAAGCAACAGACCCAGCCACTGGGGAGACCTGATGGGCAGGGATCCAGTGAAGATGCTGACGCAGGGGGGTTGAGGGCGAGTGAAAGCAAGGGAAGCTCCAGGGGCAGTGAGAAGCCCAAAAGCAAGCTGCAGCGATCGCTGAGTGACGACGATGAGGAGGAGGAGCAAGCCAAGGTTGTGAGACTGAGTCGTGATGACAGCAGCAGGCGCAAGCAGCAGGGGAAAAAGGGTGCTTCACTGAAAGTCTCCAAGTCCAAGTGATGATGGTGACTGTGAGGATGGTGTGGCTATCGGCAAGGCAAATCTCAGCTCCTCCTAGTCCTCGGCATTCCTCCAGACACCCCCACTCTCCATGCCAGCCAATCGCGGAGTGCTGATTGTGGGCTGAAGTGCTGAAAACCTAACCCAAAACTCTATACCCGAAGTCTCAAGACAGACAAATGTGCACTGATACCTCTGATTCGTATACAATACAACTGAACTGAAGGCAGGATGGTGGAGGAAGTTTCACTCAAGTAAGTCAAGGCACTTGAAAAATGCTGGAGAGGTGCTAGGAATGGTTTGGCTCCAAACGTGGAGAGTTGTAATCAACCCTGGAACTAATATGGGATGGATGTTGTCCAAAAGCTTTAGATATAAATATTCCAACGTTCAAGTTGGTTCTTGCAGGGTAATGGATTGCCAATTGACGGTTTACACTGTTGGAAACAAATAACTTAAACACTTCTGAAGTATCGAAGCATCGACACGAAACAAAGCATACCACAGCGAAGCAACACACGAGTCAACAAAAGCAACCGCTGGAGGTTACGCGAAGGTCAAAGGTCGCTGACTTTTGATCGACGAAAAGTACAGTGCGACAGCAAGGACACATAACTGACTCGATACTGAGCAGTTATCCGAGTCGACACTGTATCGAACCGCAACAGCAAAAACAGTTAAAAGTATAACTTTTCATATTCCCTTGTAATCATATACCGTATGGCCCCGGATACACGGTAGGCGCCGTCCGATTAATGGCGCCGGCGCTTCTATCTGGAGCATGGCGCTTATGGCCGAAACTCAATTATAAGCGCCCCCCCTGGAAAACCTTTACTTATTATAAGCGCACGTACATTTTGAAATTATAAATCTGTTTAAAACGGTAACGAGTTTCATTTTCGCAGCGAGCCAAATTTCATCTTCGCTTCGTTTGACTCGCGAAGACCTGACTGGCTGCGCGTCCAATCAGGATGTGCTAGCATGCCTGCAAAGTGAGGTGAACTTGCTGGTGTGCAGGAAGCAGAATCGCTTGCACGCGATTCTGCTTTGTGACGCTATATTATTTCGACTCGTTTGAAATGGCATCAATGAAAGGTACAGTTTGGTACCCTAAAATTATAAATTTGTATTTGTCATTATATAAGCGCATGCGCTTATGGCCGAAACTCAATTATAAGCGCCCCCCTTGAAAAAATCAATTTTATTATAAGCGCATATGCGCTACTATCCGGGGTGATACGGTAAAAGGCCAGTGTCTCTCTGCTATTATCAACTTATCTTGTTTTCACACACCAGTACAAGGTGGTTCAGCAACTATGATATTAACGCTTCCGCAAACTACAACATTCCTACTTCAACTAGATCTTAGCCTTGAAAGATCCTAAGGGCTATTTCTCAGCCCAACATGGTATGAGAGCAAACAAGGCAAGATCGATTTCCAAAATTTCTACAACACAAGACATGGCAACACAGAAGGAGAGGAGCTCCTCCAACGGATATCTCGGCACTACACCTACTCCACCTCTAGCCTCTGGTCTACAGACAGAGGAAGGCACAGCAACAAGACCAGCTGCGGAGACGACCGAAACTCCCGGGAATCAAGCAGCAAGCTTTGACCCAAACATGATGGAGAAGTTCTTCTCCTTCATGTCCTTCTACGAGCAACATCAGCAAGCGGCTCCTGCGCAATCAAACAACAGTGACAACTGTTGGAAACAATTGATTTAAGCGCCTCTGTCATGTCGAAATACCAAGTCAGAAGCGAAGCGAAACATATCGAAGCATCAGCGAGTCAACCCTCGGAGGTTGAACAACTGCTGGAGGTTACGCGCAAGTCAAAGGTCAGCGACCTTTGACCTGACAAATACAGCGCGACAGCAAGGACAAACAACTGACTCGCTACTGAGCAGTTGCCCGAGTCGACACTGTATCGAACCGCAACAGCAACAGTAAACGGTTATTAACCGTATCTCTTCATATTCCTTGTATCCTTATAAAAGCTTGTATCTCTTTGTTTTAATCAATCAACTTTGCCCTCACATACCAGCGCAAGGTGGTTCACAAGCCATTTATTAAACGCTTCCGCTATTACATTGTACTACCCTTGAATTCTGTCCTGCAAAGATCCTAAGGGCTTTTTCTCAGCCCAACATGGTATGAGAGCGGTCAGGACAAATTTAACTACAACCAAGACACCCACAATATCACAAGATATGGCAACACAGAAGGAGAGAAGCTCCTCTAACGGGTCTCCCGGTACTACCCCTACTCCACCTCCTGCCTCTGGCCTACAGACAGAGGAGGGTACGGCAACAAGACCTAGAGCAACGTCTTCAGAAACTCCCGCAAATCAAGCCGCAGCCTTCGACCCAGACATGATGGAGAAGTTCTTCTCCTTCATGTCCTTCTACGAACAACACCAGCAAGGGGCACCTGCACAGTCAAACAACAGCAACAACAACAACGCAACACCGATGAGCCTCGACGGTTCTGTGAGAATAATGAGAGGAATGAGTGAACTAGGAAACTAGTGGGGTACAAGTAGAAAACACAAAAATGTTGTACCCTCTAAGGACTACCCCACTATAGCCTAAACAGACTATAGCATATATAAGTTTGACACACCCCCATAGGCAAAGTGGGGGAGAACAAGGGGTCACAAGACCAGTCAAGAAGGTAAAGCAAGCTCAGGGTGGATCACAAAGTCACCACGCAGTCTGAGCACAAGCAAAGGGCCACAAGGCCAGTTCACATGCAGAGTTATATAAAGGAAAGCAAACAATACAGTGAACACAACCTAGCAAGAGTAAGCATGCAGGTATAGGTATATAGAGTACAGTACAAGCAGAGTCAAGAAGTCAGCAAGTGAGGCACAGTAGGTACAAGGCCTAACACAGTACAGAAACGCTGATGATCACAAGGCTGAAGTGCCTTGGTGAAAACATCAGCAGTGTTGGCCTGAGAGGCCACGTAAGCAAGACGAAGCTGGCCACGCTGCTGTAACTCTCGAGCAAGGAAGTAGCGCAGAGCAATGTGCTTCGTTCTGTGCTCCAATCTGTGCTCCTGACACAAGGCCAGCATGGCCTTGTTGTCGACGTACAGAACTGGAGGAGAACGAGGCGCCTCTCCCAAGTCAGCGTAGCTCCTGTGCAGCCATGGCCCCAGCGTAGATCCTGTCAGCAGGTAGGTGAGCCAGCGTAGCTCCTGTGCAGCCATGGCCCCAGCGTAGATCTCAGCCTCACAACTCGAGCTGAGAACAGAAGAAGAACGGATAGACCGCCAAGAGACAGAACCTGAGCCAAGACTGAAGGTGTAACCCTGTGACGACCGCTGCGTAGCCAAGTCGTCAACCCAGGAGGCGTCAGCGTGACCAGTGAGGACAACTCGAGCCCGTCCTCCAAGCACGAGCCCCATGCCCGATGTACTGCACAAGTATCGCAACACCCTCTTCGCAGCATCCCAGTGCACCTTTCGGTGCCTGCCGGGAGCCACGTAGCGAGCCAGAAGGCTGAGAGGGTATGCGAGGTCAGGTCGTGTGCAAGTCATCAGGTACATGAGGCAGCCCACAAGCTCTGGATACGGGCCACTCGACTCTACGGACTCGTCCGAAGGTGGAGCTGAGAGCGAGTGACCGGTAGGCAGAGGAGTGGACTGTGGCGAGGAGTACGTGAATCCGAAGCGCTGAAGGACCTGCTGCACCATGTGTGACTGAGTCAAGGTAATGGTGCGCTGTGCTCTGTCCCGGGTGATCCGCAAGCCAAGATAGCTTTTCCGCTCACCCAAGTCTGTGCACGTGTGTCTCTTCTGCAGCTCGGACTTTACGTGGGCGAGTGCCTTAGTGTCAGAAGTAGCAAAGACGAGGTCGTCTACGTACACGAGAACGTAGAACGGCGGCAGAGTAGTGTCAGTGCGTAAGAACAGAGAAGGGTCAGAAGTGGAAGGAGCAAAACCAAGAGCAGCAAGAGTCGTCCTGAGTGTGTCGTGCCACTCACGAGGTGCCTGGCGGAGACCGTAGACTGGCCGGCGGAGGCTCCACTGGGTACCAGCTGGAAACGACCCAGTGAAGCCAGGTGGACGGCGCATCCAGATCTCCTCGTGCAGGCTGCCCTGTAGGAAGGCTGTGCTGAAGTCAAGCGAGTGGAGCTCGTAGTCACGCTGAGCAGCTACGTGCAGCAGTACCCGAAGAGTGGTCATCTTCGGGGTAGGGGAGAAGGTCTGGAAGAAGTCAACTCCCTGTCGTTGACTGAAGCCACGTGCAACGTAACGCGCCTTGAAGACAGGCGGAGAACCCAGCGGCCGCTTCACCCTGAAGATCCACATGCCACTGACGATGTTCGCCCCAGGTGGGGGAACCTCATCGACGTAGGTGCCTGTGGACTTCCAGGAAGCCATCTCGGCGTCCATGGCTGCCTGCCACTGAGAGGAGTAGGGACCCTCTATCGCCTCTGCGTAAGAGCGCGGGGTCGGGATGTCTGGTGCATCCGGGTCTCCCTCAGAGGCAAGCAGCATGGACACGAGATGAGGTACAGAAGCAGCAAAGCACTCAAACTCCTCCTGTCTGTCCTCAAGAACGTCCGTGCCAAGAGCACACTCACCCCCGA